ATGTAAGACATACCCAGTGTTCCTGGTTGCCTAACTGGTTCACGCTGAAACTTGGACCATACTGTTAGCAATTGTACTCTTGCCTGTAAAGACTAGTATTATAGTTGGGGCTGCTTGCGCATCCTCTTATTAAAGTTGCCCAACACCTCCCGTAATAAGATCTTGTTTTCTGTTGCTTATAACTTTGTGGAAATGTAACTATTTGGGCAGAAGTTTTTCAAGCCGACTGTCTGCCTTAGGCTCAACTTATTTGGAAAATTTCAGCCAGAATGATTTAGCCATTTTAGAGAAAGGGACTTGAGAAAAACATTGTTTTGCCTGTGCTTAAAAATATCTGTCTCTCTGTTCTGTGAATCAGCTCCAAAGTTCATGGAATAGACACCTGAAATTTGGCAGAGGGGTGGGTGGTTAGCAATTTGCCTTTTGCCTCAGGAAAATCTGGCTACAGTATAAGTCTTTGAAAAGTAGCAATTTTCACATGCTGAACAGGGACTTAGTTTAGTAGCTAACATCTCAGAAGATGCTGAGCATACTCAAGCTGACCAGACTACACAGGGGCTATCCACACAGAGAAACAGACTTCAGGAGTGAAGCCAGATTGTTCTATTAATGACCACTCCTTGGTGCTCTGGGAGCTGGACGGGGGACGGGGGGGGGGGGAAACTAGACACTGTAATGATCCCTCTGTTGACAGCCAGGCAACTCGGAGAAGCCAGCCCTCTGATTCATTTCCACTTTATACTCGTCAAACAAGGCACCATCACTTGAATATTTAGCACTCACATAGTAAGCAAGCAAGTCTGTTCCTTTTCCTCCCCATTTCTGAGAGGAGATTTGAGATTCTCTAACTAGGTCACCACATCACACTTAGTGTTCCCCTGAAACAGTGCACACTGCGATTCCACCCACCACCCTGCACTTCCACCCACCCGCACATACACAGACTTGGTGATCAAAGAGTCACACTGTACTTAGAGGACAGATAGAAACAACTCACATTTTTTCTAACAGTAAAAGAGAGAACAAAGAACGGACACATTTGAGAAAGAGAACACAGAGTGTGTCCTATAGCAAACTGCTTCTTCGCCCCTCCTCCTCCACCCCAAAAGAGGCAGCAGCCTATGCAGTTGTTCTTCAGTCTATCAGAGAAAGGTCTAACATGATCCAATGGTTGGAAATCAAAGCTATACAAATTCAAACTGGGAAATAAGATGTGCATTTCTGACAGTGAGGACAATCACTCATTGGAACCAAGGATCTTGGGGATTCTCCATCACCTGAATTAAAATTAAGATCATATGTTTGCGTAAAAGACATGCTGTAGGAATTGTTGTGAGGAAGATCTATGGTTTGAGCTCAGAGTAGATGACCACAATGGTTCCAGCTGGCCTTTGAATCTGTTAATCACTATATGAAACTGTGGCACGGTCCTTGCTCAGGCCCCTCATCCTGGGACACCTTCTTCGGTCACAAATCAACCAGAGACCCTTTCTGGTGCAGTCACCCGTGCCTTTTATTTTCAGTGCCATTCCCACCACCTTCTATTTACAGAGCTTTTCTTCACAGCAAACTCAGCCAGCCTTTCCTCATGCCTTGGGCGCACACTCTGCCACACCCTAGCTTCTGGCTCCTCCCCTCTAACTTCATCTCTGGCTGCCTTATCTAGCCCTCTGGCTAATGAGGCCCACAGCTGCTTCCATCAGCCCTTCAGGCCTGAGCTTGCTCAGCTGGCTGTAATTGGCCTTTTCAGCCAGGCTGTACAGGCAGAGCTCTGGCTTAGCCAGCAGCCTGTCACTAAACCTATTGAGACTGCTATTAGTTAATGGTCTTCTCAGCCATGATATTATATATTGGGAGACCAGAATAATTCCTCAGGACTTTGTAAACTTATTTGCATCTGATATTGTCATGTCAGTTGCCAGTCTCTTTGTAAGCATCCTCTATTACTGTAGGGCCATGTCTATATTTACTGATGGATGGATGCTCTAAAGGTGGATCTTCTGGCATTCGATTTAGTGGGTCTAGTGTAGACATGCAAGTCGAACACAGAGGGCCTCTCCAGTCAGTGCTTGTATTCCTTGCAGTTACAAGGAGTAAGGGAAGCCAATGGGAGTGTTTGCTCCCGTTGGCCTCTTGTGTAAACGCCGCCAAGCTCAGCTTAAGGTAAGCCGAATACAGTTACATATTCTATGTATCTGCAGTTGTGTATCCTAAACTGACCTTCCAGGTCTAGTGTAGACCTGGCCTCAGTGTTTGTTTATGCTCTGAAGCAAGTTGAGTATTGAAATTGCACTATTCATGAAATATCACTCATCATTATCCCTTAAAAGTAATAAAAATCTCACAGAGTAACGACAAGGTGGCTAGAACAAAAGCAAGTCTATGTGGATAATGTATACCGAGTCTTTTTTCTTTTTACAATTTATTAATAAAGAACATCAGTAAGGACAAAAATCACACCAGCAGCCTATTCTACTTCGGCAAATGTTTGCTTACTGTATCACTAACTTTTATTGCAGTACTTCATTTCAAGAGATGTTTGCGTAGCTTATTGAGCAAGCTGTGTATTTTTCTAGTTAAAATGTGTATATTGTAGTTACATTTTTTACACACTTCACTAACTGGGCTACATAGACTGATAAAATGATCACTGGGAATCGTAGGCTGATTCAGCTGCATATTTTAATGCTTCTGATTTTTGTATTTCATTAATTCAGCATCATACTTTGATAAAGTTTGGTTCTGTCCTGGCTGAATTTTAGATTCTGCCGATCTAGCTCTCTGCTGTACTGAAAGGATTGAACACATTGTTAACTGCTAATGGTACTGTGAACATTAGTGGTTGAAATTTTATACTCTGTACTGTTTGGTTAAATGAGCTGCATATTACTGTTTTTATATACATTGCTTATCCAGTTGTGTACATTTGCTCAACTCATTATACAAAATAGGCTTGATTGGAATAAGAACATTCTCTACCAGCTGTCTGCTATGAGTCAGTTAGTAAGTAAAAAAATTAGCAACTTTTCTTTTTCCAACAGAAAAAGCATGATTGTTTCCAAAGTACAAAGCAATTGGTTTGCTGAACTTGTTTGTTTCACTTACTCCATGCAGACATATACATCAGTTTGTTGCAACTTGATTTGCTTTTACCAATATAAACAGAGCTATATAACAAATAAAAACACCTCACAGACAAATAAACTGAAATGCTCGTTTGTATATTATCAAATTCACCAAGTACTTGTAAAGGATTGAACATATTTGTGTAAGAACTCAGTGCTTTATATTCTAAGTGGTAGAGGGAAAGAATAAATAGAACTTTCACAAGATGGACAATGCAGCTAATAAAAAAAATCAACCTGAATACTAGAAATGGAAAATATAAAAATTAACAAATTATATACGTAGCATAGTAAGCAAATTATGAAAATGGGGTCATATAATAATCCATAAAAAGCATCTCAATGAGCAGAGTATATGGTATACAGTCAATTAGATATGTGGCTTGATCAATAATACTCATGCCAACCCCTTCCCTCATCCCCTCAACCAGCTGCAGTAGAAGCATGCATCTCAAAGAGAGACCTTCCACTCCAAAGTGCTGGGGAGTTATGCCAGCCCAAGATTAGTGGTTTCTATGATATGTGAGGTGCCAGTTGATCACCATCCTCTTTATGGCTGCCATTAGCGTGTTTTAAACTGTTATCAGGTCCCTCTCAGAATTCTTCCCTCAAGATTAAATGTATCCTTTTTTAACCTTTTCTCACAGGTCAGGGCTTCTAAACCTTTCATCAGTTTTGTTGCTTTCCTCTGGACTCTCGCCAGGTTGTCCACATCATTCTTTGTGTGGCGCCAAGTACTGGACACAGCACTCCACTCACAACAAGCGAGGGCACAGCAGGGGGGCTGACATCTTGTGTGGACCCCTGGGCAAGGTGGAGGGGGGTCTGACTCTGCAGTTCTACAAAGGGCAGGGCTTCAGGTGGAAGGGACAAGGTAGGGGGCAACCAGCTGTCTGTACCCCCTGGAGCACGGCAGGCCCACCCCCTGCCCTCAGAGCCATATGGAGCACATGGCACAGTGCTCCAGCAGTGGTTTAAAGAGCCCAGGGCATCTAGGAGCCCCAGACCTCTTTGAATCACCAGGCCCTGGGGCAACGACCCCTTTGTCCCTCCCGTCAGCAGGCGTGGGTTTCAGTTGTAGCAGGACAATTTAGCTCCATGAGAATATTCTATGTTTTTAATGACTCCAGAAAGTTCACATAGCTCAGAATGATGTAGCCTTTTTTCACAAAGGCATCACATCTTGTTTTGAATTTGTGATCCACTGTGATCTCCAGATCCTTTTCAGCTGTACTGACAAGTAGCCAATTATTGCCCATTGTACGGCGCTACATTCAGGGTACATCTAAACTACAGCCCTTTTTCGATAAAGGGATGTAAATTAGATTTATTGAAATTGTAAATGAAGCCAGGATTTGAATTTCCCACGCTTCATTTACATAATGGAGGCTGCCGCTTTTTTTCGAGGAAAAGCCACCTTTAGAAAAAAAAGCCGCGGTTAAGACGGGGCATTTTCGACAGAAATGCCCCCTTTTGAAAGATCCTGTAAAGGATTACAGGTTTATAAGATCTTTCAAAAGGGGGCATTTCTGTCGAAAATGCCCCGTCTTAACCACGGCTTTTTTTCGAAAAGTGGCTTTTTGAAAAAAAGCTGCAGCTGCCTTTATGTAAATGAAGTGCAGGAAATTCAAATCCCAGCTTCATTTACAATGTTGATACATCTAATTTACATCCCTTTATTGAAAAAGGGATGCAGTTTAGATGTACCCTCAGTGTTTTCTTTCTCAGTGAAGTACTTTGCACTTGTCTTTATTTAATTTCCTCTGTGAAACCTCATCAACTTTATGTGTTTGTACAGACAGAAAACGAGAGCTATCTACAGAACAGATTGTAGTTTATAGCTACTATAACTGAGGTGTTTTTCCTCTTTTTCAGAGGGTAATTTTCAACATTGTCAACTTCAGTAAAACAAAAAGCCTCTATCGTGATGGAATGGCTCCTATGGTGAAATCCACAAGCAGACCAAAATGGTAAGTTATCATTCTAAAATTCTACTAATAGGAGAAGATTTTTGTTTTGTTTGGCACTTGTCTTAGTTCAGATGCAGCATCGAATATCTGTAAAGTAATTATTTTTATCTAATGCCATTAGTAATGATTTGATTACATACAGTACTGTATGGACCATATAAAAATGCACATATAAATACTGTGAAATATATGCTGTAGTACTAGTAGCTAGGAGGTTGACCTAGCATGGATTCCAGAATCAGGCCTTGAGGGTATGTCTACACTACACGCTTATTTCGAAGTAAGCTATTCTGGAAGAAATACTCTGAAATAGCTTATTTTGAAATAGCACGTCTACACTACAGGGAAGCCTCAAAATTAGTCCAAGGCAGGCTTCCCTAACGTGGAAACCCTATCTCGATTTAGAGTCCCAGGAGGCACTGGGAAGTAATTATTTTGAATGACCTTGGGGAAGAGCTATTTTGAAATAGCTGAAGTGGAGTGTCCACACAAGTGTTATTCCGAAATAGATATTTTGGAATAGGCATTATTCCTTGTGGAATGAGTTTACAGAACTCGGAATAAGCCATCTGTTATTTTGAATTTATTTTGAAATAGCAGAATTGCTGTGTAGAGACTCGCATTGTTGTTTTGGAGTAATGGCTGTTGTTCTGAAATAACACTGCTGTGTAGACGCACCCTGAGAGAAGAGTAGTTTTCTTACTTATTCATTCAGAGCTAGATTCTGGTAAGCTCTGCAAAAACATCTCAAGTAATGTAGATCTGTTGCTCTCTTCATGCCTGTGTGTTGGGGGCATCCAGACACCTGCCATCTGCAGTCTGTGAGAACAAAATGGTAGCAGTTTTTAGTATTACAGGCAGTACTAGGTGCCCCACAGAGTGGAAAATCTTTGCCTCCATCTCCTTCTGCAGTATCCGGCAGTTCAAATGTGGAACTGGTGAAGGAGGGAGATGCGTGGTACAGCCTGTGGAAATGTGTTATGGTGATTACTCTCCATCCAGATGCTCTTCCATCAAGTATTCTGCCTGCTGTGTCCTAGACAGGCATAAAGTCTCTACATATTGCAGGTGATGTGGTGTTGCCAAAGAAGCATGTCTGGGTGAAATGCTGGTCCGGTGGACTTCCGAGAGGATAGGATTTCACCCTCAGTGTCTAATTAAGAGACACCTCTCCCAAATCTACCATGATGAAGCCTATACAGATAATCTAAGCTCTGAGAAGCAGTTATTGGCCTGGCATGTGATGGTGCTCCGAAATACGGGTTAATTTGTATTGGCATTAGCCCTAATAGTTCAGCTAAGTGAGAAGTTTTTACAGTTATTACTCCTAATTCAAAACAAATGTTTGAGTGGTTTGCATGAGCAAGTCCACTGATTCTTCTACGTTTACTTACAATTCTTAAATATGTGAACTGTTAAAGATTTCCATCTACATAAATTTTAGTTATTGTTGCCATAAGAATCAGTCTTCTAGAAAAGTTTTCATTTTAATCACCTGAGATGATAATTTTGCTTAAATTAGTTTTCTCTTCTCCAGATGAGCTTACAGTCTATTTTACCATGTGTTTGAGCAGCTCCTACTGGGATGTAGTCAGTGGTACTGCAATACATATGTAATAATAATGTGGCATATAGATATAGTGTGCTTGCTATTTTATCCCCAAAGAATCATATTTTGACTCCTGACCAAATCGAAGTGGTTTTCTCATCTTTCAAAACTTTTCTCTTTTCTAAGCCTAGTACTTTAAACTAATTATTTTTAGTGTGTTAATTTCTGCCTTAAATCAGCGGTTGCTTTACTATCTAAATTATTCCTTATTTTGGTTTCAAATTAAAATGTAAATCTTTTAAAATAATACAAAAACCAATGGAAAATAGGTTCCTTCTAAAAGCGTGTAGACTCCCTTCATTATTTCTGAAAACATGTTTCTCCTGCATTTTCCAATTATCTATTTATTTATGTGTTTTATATATATTGGAATGTGTGTGTGGGGGGAGAGGGGAGATTTGCTTTCATGAGAAGTAAGAGATAAATATCACTGTCTGGAGCCAGGCACAGAGCAGGCTGCACGTTCTATCCAGCTTTCTCCTGCAGTGCTGTTGCTGTACTGTACCCCTGTTTCAGAAATCCTAGCTATGATGTAAGAAGCTATTTATAATAGACAAAACAATGAAATAATTGTATTTGTAAAATATCCCATTAAAAATAAATAATTAGTTTCTGATAGTTTGAAAATATGTTGTTGTATTTTGAAGAAGCACAGCAATTCGTACTCTTCCCAGGCTCATTTATGGGTCTTCTCTCCTCTGTTAGGTTTACTATATGTTAATGGGAATTATGTGCACACCAGTGGAGGAAACGCACCATTTAGACTTTGGTGTACAGCATGCTCTTTATTATAGCTGTGTGTTTTCCTTTGAGATGGTTTTTGAAATGTTTTTACAGCCATCTCTTTATCAGTTTCCATGGTATTCTTGTGAAACCTCTATAAATTATTTTCCACGTGTTCATTTTGTTGAAGCAGGTTGTACTAGTACTTACAGTTGCTTACACAGCTTCCAGGTTGCTCTGGTTCTTTAATATGAATGGGGTTATCTCCAGTCCTATTCATTCCATGCTGTTTGCTGCTTGGTATAATTATTGTGAGGTTAATAAGAGGTGTTGGATCATTGGGGCTCTGCAAAGGGTCACATGACCATAGACTCTAGGACTTCTTCCACCTTGGTTTATGATTTAAATTGTTTTCAGAGTCAGCATTTAACAGACATGATGCAGGTGACTAGATTAGACAGAAAAGGTTAGAAAAGAAGCTATGAAACAATGCAGATTTCTTAAAACAAGATAAAGTAAAATTTCTAGAAGCAAACTTCTAGTTATTTGCTAACATACAGTTCGCTATTAAACCTACCAAATGTAATATACTCAGTATGTATTAAGCAAACTCATCTTCATTGTGACTATGTGGGTGAATTCCAATGCAGTGGAATGTATGCTCCAAACCAAAATTCTCTCCAAATTCACTTGGTCAGAAATTAACAACTGAAGCAACAAGGAAGCACAAACTTAATTACTTGTGCTTTCTGCATTTTTGCAAGTTTTAGTTGGAGACAGTAGAAGGGTATGTTTTCCTTATATTGAAGAGATGCATGCGTATAACTCCCCGTTAAGAACTGAAGTTATGAGTTAAATGGGAATTGGAGTTAGGGAAGAGATTTTCCAACTAATTTAAATGAGAAACTTAATGTTGCATCCAGAACAGAATTTGGCTTTGTATAAACTGTCCAGATAGCACCAGATAGCATCAACAGACATGTCTCCAGAATCTTGATATTTTTTTTCTGAATGTGGTGATGTGAACATGGTTTCAAGCCTCTCAATGCCTTTGGAGTTTGATTCTTGACTGGAACAAGTCAGTGCCAAAAACTCTACAAAGACTGAGTGTCAAACACAGCTCAACATTTTTTACCAGAATTCTCTTGTCCTATGTGTGGGGCAAGATCTTTAAATGGAGTCAGCATCAAGTTTTGGTTAAGCATTACTGATGTAAATGCAGAATCTCACTGCCATCACTGTACTCACTGTTACACACATATTTTTAGTACAACATACCTTTTTGAATTCAGGTCAAACATTCCTACTAATGAGCTCTTTGTAGCTCAAAAACTTACCTTTCACCAACAGAGATTAGTTCAAGAGACGATATTACTTCACCCATCTTGCCTTCCTATTTAAAACAAGGCAGCAATGTGCTGAAGAATAAAAAAAGCGGATGTCATGGAGAAGACTTTTTTAAAAAAAATGCCCCAAACAGAAAAGTACAGTAGATACGGATAAAAACATCTTTTTTGCAGACTACTTCTGAGTACAATCTTCAAATTATTCATGGCAGGGACTGAATTTTAGAACACGAAATTTTTGGAAAGTAAACGTAGGTTACTTTCTGGTGGTTTCCCTTCCTCCATAATATATTAATATTCAATTGTTTTCTGTCAGTTACATCAGTCAGATTTCATTGCATTGAATCACTACTTATGTGGAGAAACTCAGCATCATATCATATCAGTTTGCATCAGTCACATTTCATGGCAAATTGAACTTGATGAAAGTTAAGATTGTTATTCAAGACAATGGGATACAAAGTGACATGTCAAATAAGATTGCTCAAGATGATTTGGTAATTCATAAATGTTGAAGTAAGATATTAGTACTATGGCTCTTTCTTGGCAATTACTATTGCAATTATCTATCCCCCACCTTACACAAAGGTTAGTGGGAAGATGTTATTCTCTGTGTGTATGTGTGTGTGTTTTAAGGTCCACCACTTCTATAATATCATTCTCTTCCCTCGTTTGTTTTAAACTTCAGCCTCATTTTGTTGTTACTTGTGATTTCATGCTATACTCCCTGGCCTTAAAAGCTATTAGTGAACTTCATTGCAGGAACAGCAATGGAATTTCACTTACTCACTGATCTACTGTACCATTATATCGACTCCAGAAAGTTTTACAACTTTCTCAAAGTGAAATAAAAGAGTGACGTGTTCAGGAGACAGCAGATTTTCTAAATGATGAAATGAGCAAATATTCCCTTTGGGCTGGAAATAGCTATAACTCTTGATTATTCAGCATATCATTGTCTCATTGGGAACATTAGTATTTCAAACTGCACTACTCTTTTGAAAGTAGTAACTGGCCACTCATCACCTTAGGTATTTCAACAGGGTAATATGCAAAATTCTAATTAGTATTTATCGAATAGCAACTCCTCCCAGTTGAATAACAGCTATAACTGGCAAATATCTGTTTGATGCCTGCTTAAGTCTTTAGACGACAGACACTATATTTTGTTCTGCATTTTCAATGAGCAGAGAGTGCTAGGTAAAGTCCTCAGAATTAAGGGATAAAGGATAATAAGCAGCTTGGTTCTTGAATGAATGAACTACAGGGTTAAAAGCTGTTCTTCACTTGTGATGCAATATTTCAGCGCACATTTGTTTGTA